CGGTCTGTGTTTACAGCTAAGGGATGAAACACAGACTGCATCGAAAAATATCACCGCACTACATCTGAAAGATAAAGGCAATTTGCAACATAAAATAACACCTTACAAATGGCCTGCGTACAATCCTGTTGGTCTATTATTTCTTATCTCACTCTTATCTTTTTCTCTCATGCTGTTCTCTCATGCTGTAATCTATCGCGCCTTCGCCATTCAGGCTTTCAGAGTCAACCTGGGTGCTACAATCTGCTTGTCATTAAAAGATGAAGTGCAGAAGTCAGCCGAACTCACGATTTTCGGCATAGAAAAAGCGCTATTTGCGACTTTGTCACGCTCATCGGCGAATGTAAGCTAAAAATTCAACGAGAAACGACGTGTAACAATCAAAAAAGACAACTCAAAATCTCTGGACATTGTAAGGCTCAAGAATGTGAAGGGGGGTTGTAATGGTATCCAAAGTAAACATTATCCGATGACTTTTCAACAGGCGCAGAAGCACTTAACGGTAACTCAAGTACTAGCACTTTTATCAACAGCAACCACTCATACATCTCCGGAAGCAGCTGTGGACGAAGTGATTTCACTAAATTAGGGCTGCAAGCATCATTCCAGTTACTGGGCACTAGAAAGTAGGCTAACGGATATTTGGAGCATTAGTAAGCTATTCTCACAAAATTTCGAGAATCAGAACTCACTAGTAATTCAGCAAAATCTTTCGACAATTTGTTAACGCGTTTCGTTGGTATAAGTCAAAAAACAATCACCAGCTTGCTTCTATGCTTAGTTTTGACTCTAATCTATAATAACCACAATATAGTTGCAAAAGCAGCAATTTACAATTCGATCGTCCTGTCAGCCATGTTATATGGCTGTGAGACATGGAACACCAAGCTTGCTGAAGAACGGAAATTGGCAGTGTCTCAAAGAGCAATGAAGCGGCGGATGATTGGCACCAACAGGCTACAGCACATTCCAAATGAAGTGCTACGAGCCAGATCTGGCGTGAAAGATATTACTGAAGCAATGTACGCTGGAAAGAGGAGTTGGGCTGGTCATGTTGCACGGATGTCAGATAACAGATGGACGAAGCGGATAATGGAATGGTATCCACGCATGGTCAAGCGAATACTGGGGAGACCACT